TTTGTGGCAAGGCTTTTCAGAGAACTGGTAGAGAAGTTGATATTTCTCCCACCATTTTCAAGGCAGAAATAACAGCAAATATATACTAACATGATATGATCTTACATTATTAATGATCTAAGTTAAAGACAGATAATGTAGGAGTTAGAGGGAGAGCTGGATATTCAGGCCATGAGGTAATCAGGAGAGAAGGTGGCTCCTAATGGAATCAAGGAGTGGCCAAGGCTTTAAAATAATTGTGTTTGATGTAGAGATTGCAATAGATAGTATGAGTGTCCATTTCCTTAGAGGTAGTACAATAGACCAGCACCAATTAGCTATTATTTATTAATCCTTAAGACACACAGGGAGACTAGGCAAGTGAGAGTGGAAATTACTCACCATTCAAACAAAAAGAGGATTTCAGGTGTTGATACAGGTTTTTTTTGGGGGGGGGTGGGTATGATGAAAATGTTCTAAAATTGATTGTGGTGATGGTTGTACAATTTTGTGAATATAGCCAAAACTACCAAATTGTTCACTTAAAATGGATGAATTTTATGAGATATCAATTATATACATATATATATATATTTTTTTTTTATCCTCACCAGAGGCTATTTTTCCATTTTTTGTACAGATAGAGAGGGAGGGAGAGAGAGAGAGAAACATCGACGTGAAGGGACACATCGAGTGGCTGCCACCCGCACGACCAACCAGGGCCGGGGACAAACTGCAACCGAGGTACGTGCCCTTAGCGGGAACCGAACCCGGGTCTCTCTGTACCGCAGGACGACGCTCTAACCGCTGAGCCAAACCGGCCAGGGCATAAATTATATTTTAATAAGTGTGTGTGTGTGTGTGTGTGTGTGTGTGTGTGTATTCAGTACTTCTAAAACCAAATTCTGTAATCTTCCTGCTGAAACCGGCTCCTCTTCCTGAATTCCTCATCTCAGTTAATGACACTTTCATATATTAGGTTATCCAATCTTTTTTTTTTCTTAATGCTATTTATTGACCTCTAAATCTAATACAAGTGTAAGAACTCTGCACAAGTGTTCTAAGAGGACTTTGACCTTGTTCTTGCTGCTAAGTTCATTGAAGTTAGCTTGCTTTTGTTTCTGTAGCCTCTGTATCTGTTGTCTGAGATGCTATTTTGGTAGCAGCCTCTCAACATTTGTGATCACTATGGGATGCAGAGGGAAAAAGCCAGAAAGACCAAGTTACCCAGAAGCTTTTCCACAGGTATGGAGAGGTGGGCCCCACAGCCTATCTAGTGCCAGGTCCGGTCCAGGTTGAGAGCAATAAGCTTCTCTCCATGACTGTTGGGCAGTGGGTCATAGGAGCCTAGCTGCTCCACAAAACGGCCATCCCTGGGATACTTGTGAGCAGCCACGATGAGGTAGAAAGGCCGGTTGGTACAGCCACCCAGGGCAAGACGGACGGTTAAGTGGCCTCCATGGTAAGCCTTGTGGAGGAAAGCAGTGAGCTGGACCATGGTGCAGCAGGCGCGTGCCAGTGGCGATTCCTCCCAGCGTCCCGCTGCCCGCAACAACCAGCTCTATCGCCTCTGGCGGGGTGTAGGACGGAGGACGGAGGACAGACGGGCAGGGTCATTGCTGCGAAATCGCGTGCATCCCCGCACAGCCCATGGGCCTCGGTGCCGGAAGCCAGGTTATCCAATCTTTATAACTATCATAGATTGCTCCCTCTCATAACTCTTGTTCAATCTTTTTTTTTTTTTTAAATGTCCACTTGTCTTTATTTTTTTAGATAGAGTGGAAGGGAGGGAGGAAGGGAGAAAGAGAGAGAAACATCGATGTGAGAGAGACACATTGTTTGGTTGCCTCCCACATGACCTCAATCAGGGCTGGGGATCGAACCTGCAACTGAGGTATGTGCCCTTGACTGGGAATGGAATCCACAACCCTCTGCTCTGAGGGCTGATGCTCTAACTACTGAGCAAACCAGCCAGGGCTCCCTTGTCTTTTCTAATGTGATTGAATATTTACCTCTATGGAAGCAAGAATAAGTTTTTATTAATTTGAGAGAGCGAGCAAGAGAGAGAAACATCAATGTGAGAAACACTGATCGACTGCCTCCTGCACAAGTCCTGACTGGGGATTGAACCTGAAACCTAGGTATGTGCGCTGACTAACTGAGCCACCCAGGCAAGGCAGTTTCTTTTGTTGTTGTTTTTGGTCCAATGATCTCTTTTGCTGTGTAAGGACACCTGTGCACCCCTCCTTAATCATTTATATTAAAATATAGTTAAGTAGTTAAAATAATAAACTTGTGGTATATTAATACATGTGCATCTTTACCGACATGATGAAATGACAAAATCTATGAGCCTAATAACGATTATAATTTTGAATTTGTGGACAAAAAAGGGGCCAATACTAAACCTGACAAGCTCAGAAGAGGCCTGTATGGCAGCCTTATGAACTCAGAGACTAAAGAAACCACATAGGATGGTCTGAAATGTAAACTTCCTAACCAGAAGCGAGTCATGATGAGTAGTCATGTCCTAGGCCAGTATCTTTCTTGACAAAGATCAATCTTTACCTTAACTGAGTTTTATATTGTCTTTTGCATCTTTGATAATATACCTTTAGAATGTCAGAGTAGTTTCCCTTTTTCAGAATTTTCAGGGCACAATCACTGCTCCAGAACCCCTCATTCCCTCCTTGTTAGCTTATTCCCCCCACTGCTCCCCACACCATCTCTATGTGATGTAAATGTTCATTGTTAACTATCCTATACCCACCAATATAAAATAAACCTCTCTCCATTTTAGTCTTGATCCAATCTCAGAGATTTCCCTGCTTTGCTTTCTCCTGCCTCCCTAATCTACCATCAATGAATTTCATGTAGCCTTCCTTTGATTCTAAGGTATAAAACAAGATGCATAACTGCCATTCTCTGGAGTATTTTCCCAATCTGTTGAGCTTTTGCTTCCTGGCAACTGTGTCCATTTGGTTCAAACAAGCTGGGATCTTGAGATACCCTCAGCAACTGTAATGTGATACAAAAACATCTGTGATTTTCATTGGTGACAAAATCACAGGTACTACTGATACTGCTGTGGTTTGTTGCCCACACATCACTGAAGGAAATGCTAAATTTCGGTTAGCTCCGAGCGAAAACCACCATAAACTTTCCCTAGACAAGGAGCCGAGCCGAGAACCACTGAGCTGGGCGCCCTGGCGTCCTAGAGAGGAAGCCTGAGAAGCTTGACTGCGCAGCCGGTGTGACGCACTTCCGGGCACGCCTTAGTATGTGCTTTTCCTGAGTTGAGTGTTGGCTTTTGTCGCCCGGGAGTCAGGGGTGCTGTTTTCACTCTTAGAGAAAACTGTCACCTTTGTCCCTGCTGCGGTGGAAGGGGTCGGAGGCGGCTGCGGGCCAGTCCCGCCGTCCCTGGGGTGCCTTCGCTCGCCTCGCCCGCCTTGGGAAGTGGAGGCTGTGGATGGGAGGGAGCCGCGCTGCGTGCCCCGCAGCCAAAGTCCCTCAGCCCTTTGCGCCGAGAATTTATTACCCAGCAGCTAAATGCCAGTCGCCGCTCTAGGTTCCCCGGATGCAGCTGTGAATGAGACGGCGCGGTTCCGGCCTCAGGGAGCTTTCAGTATAATGGACAGTTACGCCTTCATCAGGTCGTTTTGTTCATCAGGTCGTTTCACCCCACCTGCAGTGGCCGGTTGCTTTCAGTTTGAGGACCAAACCCCTAACGTGCGCCAGGCCCAGCGCGGCTTGGTTTCTTCGCAATTGTGATCATAAAGTTATTTATGAGAATCTTGGATTAATATGTGTGTTTCCTTTAGTCTAGACCAAGCTCAGTGACGAAAGGGATCATACCTTTTTTTCTTTCTCCACTATCTCACACTTGGCCTGGAATGTATGCAATAAATGTTTGTTGAATGAAGAAACTACCAGTCGGTATATAATCTCAAACTGGTATACAGGAAAGGGAATACCAGTGTGTAACATGGGCAGCTGACCGGGTCTGTAGAGGATGATCTGAAGGATGAGCTAGCATTACCTACCTGAAGAGGGGTCCAGGCTGTTGGAGAGTGTTTCAGGTGGACAGAATCAGTTACAAAGGGTCTGAGGCTGGGGAAGAATGTGGTTCATACAGAGGCAATAGCAGGTACAGAGGTCCCGAGTTAGCACACTAGAGAAAACAGAAGGCTGGAGTGGCCAAACTAAGGAGAAGGGAAGCACAGATGAGCCTAGCAGTAAATTTTAGCTTGCAGTGAGTTTCTTTAGGGGTGATGCTGGCTTTTTGGTAGAACATGACTGCTTAACAAGAATACAAAGTGTTCATAGGGGATATAGGAGTTCATAGGAGTTGGCTTTTCGGGGTCCTTTGTTGTTATCACTGGGTCCTAGAATGGGATGATGAACAAAAAAGATGCCTGCCTCAAGGTGCAAGAAAAGAAAGACTTCCTTTTGAGACTCTTTTTCTGAATTTTCTTGGCTACTCATTTTTCCATATTAACCTTAGAATCACTTTATCAGGTTCTAAAAGAAATCCTGTTGGGATTAGATTAGAAGCAAGTTAATACAGTCATTAAAAGCGTGGCATTTGGCCTTGGCCAGTTTGGATCAGTGGTTAGAGCATCAGACATCAGACCAAAGGGTCGTGGGTTTGATTCCGAGTCAAGGGCTCGTGCCTGGGTTGCAGATTCGATCTGATCCCGTCCTGAGTTTACTTTTGTTAGGTTTTACTTCTAGTTTTCTGGTGTCTTTTGCTCTTTGTGTACTCATGTTGCCCCTGTACTCATGTCTGGCCTAGGACAGACAGCCTTGCTTGATGTTGGGGAGTACAGGCTCTGGTGCCTGAGGGCACCAGAAATACTTATATACCACTTACGCAGTTGGCATTTAGTAAATGATTTCTGCTGATATTAGCAGGTTTGTTGGTTTAAAGGAGAAGTTTTGATTGGGCCAGGCTCGCCTACTCATGGTTCTCTTTGCTTCTTCCCTCAGCCCCTGCCCTTCACTGAGAGGGAGCCCAGGTGATGGTAGCCATGCCCCTGAAAGCCTGGCACCAAGTGAGCTGTGAACCCCTCAGGTCAACCTTTGAGAGAGCTGATTTGAAGGAAATGGAGAATGAGAGGGATGATTCTGGCAAAAGTCTTGGAGCCAAAGCAGTAGGAAGACCCCTTGCTGATTCTCTCCTGTTGTACTGGATGCTGGGGGAAAAGATGGTGAGGGGCTGAGCAGCCAGAAGCCCACCAAGCAGTGGCTGAAGAGTAGTGTTCTGGGAAGAGGAATTATAGCCTCCTATACTCTGAGGACCTCTGCCGAGCTGGAGGGTCCCCAGGTTTAGAGGGATCCGTGAGAATGAGGGACTCAGGTAGTGGTGTAGGTATCTGGTTGCAGGGTTCTTGGGAAGTGGTGACAGAGGGTGGCAGGAAGAAGACAAGAAAAAAGGAGCTTACGGTATTTATTCTCCTAAAGAAAGAAGTTTGGGCTTCAGAATCAAGGAAAACGTATCCTCCTCGAGGTCAGTGCTGTTTGCTAAGGCAAGGCAGTGGGCTCTGATAGGAAAAGTGTGCACTAAGGCAGGACACCTGAATTAAGGACCCTGTCAGGCCTCAGTGGCCTTGAGCCACTCATTTAACCTCTTTGTATCTTAACTGACTTCATTGTAAAGTGAACATTAAGTACCTTACATTTGTGGTACAGGGAAATTGATTTTTGAGTTGTATTTAACTTTTTGAGACTGACGAGTTGCTGGGTGTTGCTTTACCATTTCTTTCCTGGGACTTATTTTTCCATAACTTATCATGAACCATATCTATCCCAAGTGCCAATCCCGGATTTCTGACATCTGGCAGGTCCCTCTGCCTGACTGTTTGACTGAGATACATTGCCTTCCTTGTAGCTCCCGCCCTCTTCTAGTCTTCTGTAAGTGCTGGTGAGTCACTGGTATCACCATCTGGAAGTTCTGACTATTCCGTTTCTAGATTACTACTTGTTGACATTTCTTCCTGGGTACCACTTCCAGAGAGTCACCAAGTCCAGTTGCTTCTGCCTGCTATCTCTTCTTCCACTTGTCCCCTATTTTATATTGTCTTTATTTAGGGTTTGTTCTTCCGCCTCTGGGATTTTGTCTGCAGAGCTTCCCAGCTAGTTTCTCTGCGTACAGTCTTGTGCTTCCCATTCACCGTCTGCTGGTCACCAAATACTGCTCAATTTTCTGAGCTTGAATTTTATCTTCTAGTCCAGGTTTTCTCAGACTTTAGTGTGCATTATAATCACCTGGAAGGCTCATTGAGGCAAAAATTGCTCTTGGGTGGGGCATGCCAGCTTGCCTTTCCAACAAGTTATCAGGTGCCGCTGCTCTGGATACCACACTTTGAGAACTGTTTTAGTTAGTGGTGACTCATTAAATCATCATTTTAGTGTGTCAAGTTGTCATTTACTCTTTTTTTTTATCCTCACCCGAGGACACTTTTTTGCATTTATCTTCAGATAGAGCAGGAGAGAGAGAGAGAAACATTGACGTGAGAGAGACGCATAGACTGGCTGCCACCTGCACAACCCTAACCGGGGCCGGGGACAAAGTGCAACCGAGGCACACGCCCCTAGAGGGAACCAAACCCAGGTCTCTCCTGACCGCGGGTCGATGTTCCAACCGTTGAACCAAACCAGCCAGGGTGGTCAAGTTGACATTTAAAGTAGATCATAGTGTGCTGGCAGAGGGTGGATTCAGTGCAGCACAGCCTGGAATTGGAGCTGTTTAAGTGTCCCCGTCTGTTGAACCAGTGTACTGATTGTACCATAGGGAAGAGTCAGTTTCCAGAAATATTTTGCAAATGAAACTGCCAGGATTTGATGACCAACTGTCAGAAGTGAGCAGTGACTGGGGCAAGTTAGTCTAGGATGAATCTTTTTCTTTTTTTCTTTTTGTTAATTCGTCTTTATTGTTGAATGTATTACAGATGTTTCCCCCCCTTTATTTCCCTATTGACGCCCTTCTTCCCAATTCCACGCCTCCTGCCTTCCCCACATTATTGTCATTGTCCATTGGTTATGCATATGTGCATAGAAGTTCTTTGGTTTATCCCATCCTGCCCTCTCCCCCTTCCCTTTGAGGTTCATCAGTCTAACAACCAATTTGTACTTCTTAATTCCTTCATCTTTTTCACCCATCCTCCCAGGCCCCCTGCCCCAATCTGGCAAGCAACAAAAAGTTCTCTGTATAATGAGTCTGTTTCTGTTCTGCTTGCTCATTTTGTTTGTAGATCAATTGTTTATAGATATGTTTATAGATATGTATCAATTGCCATTTTGTTCATATTTCTGTTTTTCTCCTTCAAGAAGACCCTTCAACATTTCATATAATACTGGTTTGGTGGTAATGAACTCTTTTAGCTTTCTCTTGTCTGTGAAACTCTTGATATGTTCATCAATTCTAAGTGATAGCTTTGCAGGATAATCTTGGTTGTAGGTCGTTGCTTTTCATCACCTTGAATATCTCTTGCCACTCCTTTCTGGCCTGCAAAGTTTCTTTTGAGAAATCAGCTGACAGTCTTATGGGAGCTCCTTTGTAGGTAACAAACTGTTTTTCTCTTGCTGCTTTTAAGATTCTCTCTTTGTCTTTAACCTTTGGCATTTTGATGATGATGTGTCTTGGTGTGGACTGTTTTGGGTTCATCTTCTTTGGGACTCTCCGTGCTTCCTGGACCTGTATGTCTGTTTCCTTCACCAAGTTAGGGAAGTTTTCTGTCATTATTATTTCAGATAGGTTTTCAATTTCTTGCTCTCTCTCTTCTCCTTCTGGCATCCCTTTGATGCGAATGTTGGCATGCTTGAAGTTGTCCCAGAGGCTCCTTACACTATCCTCATTTTTTTGGATTCTTTTTTCTTTTTGCTGTTCTGATTGGGTGTTTTTTGCTTCCTTATATTCCAAATCGATGGTTTGCTTCCTGGCTTTCCCTACTCTACTTTTGATTCCCTGTAAATTATTCTTTATTTCAGTTAGTGCCTCCTTCATTTCTGACTGGCCATTTTTGATGTTGTTGATGTTCTCACTAAGTTCCTTGGAAGTCTCCTTAAGTTCCTTGGAGGTCTCACTAAGTTCCTTGAATGTCTCACTAAGTTCCTTGAGTAACCTTCTAACCAGTGTTTTGAACTCTGCATCTGACTGATTGCTTTTCTCCATTTTGTTTAATTCTTTTCCTGGAGTTTTGTTCTTTTCTTTCATTTGGGACATGTTTACTTGTCTCCTTATTTTGGCTGCTTCCCTGTTATTGTTTCAATGTATTAGGTAGAGTTGCTGTGTCTCCTAGGCTTTGTAGGGTGGCCTATTGTTGTAGGTGTCCTATAGGATCCAGTGGCACAGCCTCCCTGATCACCCCAGCTGGGCCCTTGAGGTGCACCCTTAGTGTGGACTGTACAAGTTGCTGTTGTAATTGAGTCTTGATTGCTGTTGGCATGTCAATGGGAGGGATTTACTCAGGCTGATCAGCTGCAAGGACTGGCTGTGCCCACTGACTCCCTTGGAGGATCAGCTGTGTAGGGGCCCACCATACAGAGCGTGACTTACTTCAGCAGGGCTCTGGTACCCACTGAGTCTACTCACTGAGTGTGTCACTTGTAGAGGTCGTTGGGTGGTGGTGTTTTCAATGTAGTCTGAAGCTGTCTGCTGGGTGTGCTGGCTCTGAGGCAAGGTCAGGCTCCTCCTGTGTTCTGTCTGGAGCCATCCAGCATAAACTACAAAGTGATCTGCAGATGGCTGCTTCTTGTGCTGGGCTTGGAGGTGCCCAGGAAAAGCCAAGTTGTGAACCAAGGCTGGCTTTTAGTGCCAGGCCTGGGGCCACTTAACTAGAGGTATGAGGCTCGCTGAGACCAGATGCTGCTTGTTTGAGAGATTTTAGGAAAATCTGAAGCAGGATCCAAGACAGGCCAATCCTATGGTAAAGCCTTTGGAAACAGCTTGAGTGAACCCAAAAGTTGGGTGGGTCAGGGCCTCAGTGAATCAACACTAGGGTGGGACAAACAATGTCAGCCAGGTTGCTGGAGTCCCAGATATGGCGGCCATCTGCCGTCCCAGGGAAGGACTCACCAAAGGAACATCAGCCTCTGCCAGCTTGTCTGTCCTGGAGAAAGCCTCCTCTTTAGCCCTCGTTCCAAGCTCAGTTCTTCCCTGTATGTCTATGATGCCCCTCAAGGTGCCTCTCTTCTGAACTTAGAGGGAGTAAGTCCATGTGCGGGACCTTTAAGAGAAACTGCCCGGGACTCCAGAAGCCTCAGCCTCCCTCAGCCTCAGTTCCTGCTGGTTTTTACAGCTAGAAGTGATGGGGACTCTTCCTGGCACTGGAACCCTGAGCTGGGTGCCTGGTGTGGGATGGGGACCCCTCACGCCTCAGGAAGGACCTTCCCAGTTGAGGTGTCCTCCTGGTTTTTATCTACCACACATGGGTGTGGGACCAGCCCATCCGCACCTCCACTCCTCCTACCAGTCTCGGTGTGGCTGCTTCTTTAATCTCATAATTGTAGGACTTCCATTCAGCTCGATTTCAGGTGGTTCTGAATGGTGGTTGTGTTGTAGCTTAGTTGTAATTTTGATGTGGTTGTGGGAGGAGGCGATGCTGTGTTTACCTATGCCGCCATCATGACTGGAAGTCCTCTAGGATTAATCTTAAGTTTCTAGTATAGGAGGCAGGACGGAAATTGGAACTATCAATTGAGAGAGGGAAAGAACATTGTTACTCACTGTGCCCATTAGTTTATATAAATTAGAAAGGGAATGAGTTTAGTGTTAGCTGGTGGGTCAGACATGTTGGGTCAGAGAGAGTGAAGCAGTACGGGACTAGTCAGAGGTGGAGATCTGCAGGATCAGTCAAGGTGTTAGAAAGTGGGGGGATAGTCACCACATATCCAGGCAACCAAGTTCAATACTAAAGTCTAGGGAGTGAATAGAGGGTCTAAACCAGATGCTAGAGCTTTTTGGAAAGGTAGACTTGGAGCCATCAGGGAGGGGAAAGGATGACTACTGAAAAAAACATGAGACTTGGTTGGTAGAAATCATTACAGATTGTCTTGGGGAGGCGGTATAAAGAAATGTGGCTATAAGAGCTACCCTGCAACAATTTGATTCCAGAAGCTTGTTCTCCCAGGAAGATGCATTGGGAAGCAGCAGAATACTGAACTGTCCCAGGCAGCGCTGAGCTCCCTCTACTGGACATCGTTGAACACAGACAGATATAGCTCCTTCAAGGGGCTCATAATGGCAAACCATGAGTCTTTTCTTGTTTTGTGGGCTTGAGGTTTAGGGCAGAGTGAGCACAGGGGCAGTGAAAGGGCAACAGGTAGGTCCTGAGGTACCACCTGTGATGAGTGGCTGGACATACTGAAGCTAATTGCCCACTTGTAGTGTAACAGTAAAAGACTGACAGTATTTACAATATCAAAGAGATTTTGCTCTGGGAAGGTTAATAATGGGAGACTCTCTAGGGTTTTTGAAATGTTTTTTTTTTCCCCTCACCCGAGGACATTTTTGCATTTATCTTCAGATAGAGTGGGAAAGAGAGAGGGGGAAGAGAGAGAGAGAGAAACATTGAGAGAGAGACATTGACTGGTTGCCACCCACATGACCCCAACCAAGGCTAGGGACAAACTGCAACTGAGGTACGTGCCCTTAGCAGGAACTGAATCCAGGACTCTTTGGTCCGTGAGCCAACACTCTAACCGCTGAGTCAAACCAGCCAGGGCTGAAATGTTTTTATCACATTTTATAACAATAGATTTTATGTCCTAATGGAAGCTCTTCTGATAGTCAAAGAAGTTCCAGGTTTTTGGTTGTAGAAATAGTCACTTAATGGTCTAACACTCAGTTCTTTTGCCTTTCTCATTAGCTATCCTAGTAGGATTCCTCCCTCATACTGCCCGCTGAGTCGGAGAATTGGCTCTGCGACAACAGGAACCTCTTGTTTTAGGAGGTGGTGACCTTCAAGGACGTGGCTGTGTACTTTAACCAGGCAGAATGGGCTGTCCTTTCTTCTGCACAGAGGGCCCTGTACAGAACTGTGATGCAGGAGAATTATGGGAACTTGACCTCCCTGGGTAAGGCCCTATCCTCCTGAGACTCAGATCTATGCTTTCCTGCTTCCTTCTTTTTTCCTTACGGGCTAGGGGTAAGGTGTGGAGAAGGAGGGGTTGTCTCTGGGATCCCCCACTGCATGGCTCCAGGGCTGAGGTCAAATGATCCACTTCTGAGGTTGCTGGATAGGGAAAGGTCTTGGGTCAGTTTGGTCCCAATGTATTTGGTCCCCTAATAAGAGTAGTCCCATCCATGGGGCTCTGCACAGTAAGGAATACTTAAGTAGTTTCTGTTGCCAAAGCCAAGTTCTCAGCTTGTTGCTATCCCCCCATTATCTAGGGAAGGGTGTGATCCCTTCCCTTTGTTTCCACGTGTCTTTCGGGGTCTCACTAACTTACCTACTGTTAAATAGGAAGAGGTCAGTTTCTTCTTGCTCAAAATGTCCTTTGCTTTCCCCAAACCTGAGCCTTCATCTGTGTCTTATTCTTACTGAGGCTCTTAGGCGTTTTTCTTCTTTTGACATAGCAGACACAGGACTGAAAGGTGCCATTTTCTTTCCCCTTTTCAGGATACACAGTTCCCAAATCTGCCCTGATCTCACTTCTGGAGGGAGGGGGTTTGCTTTGGGGCCTGGAGGCACCGGATGACCCACCTGCAGAGAGGACCACAGGCATCTGTAAAGGTAAGTGAGGTAGGTTCAGAACTGGCAGCCACGAGCTTTACAGAGCAGTGTATTTCTTTTTTGCATATATTTTTTAAATTAATTGATTAATTTTTTTTACAGATGTTTCTCCTTTTTCCCTCACTGATTTACCCCTCCCCACCCCTCTCCGCCCTGTCCGCAGCTTTGTTGTCCATGTCCATTGTTCATGCATACACGCATATAAGTTCTGTGGTTTATCTCTCCCCCACCACGCCCTCTTCAGGGGATTGTCAGTCTGTACCCCACTTCCACGTCTCTAGGACTACCCCATTCCTCAGACTATTATGTTCATTATATTCCACAAATAAGTGAGATCATATGATACTTGTCTTTCTCTGTTTGGCTTGTTTCGCTTAAGATGATACTTTCCAGGTCCCTCCATGTCGTCTCAAAGGATAAGAGATCTATCTTTCTTACAGCTGCATAGTACTCCATTGTGTATATGTCCCACAGCTTTTGTATCCATTCATCTACTGATGGACATTTGGGCTGTTTCCAGATCGTAGCGATTGTAAATACTGCTGCTACAAACATGGGGGTACATATATTCTTTCTGATTGGTGTTTCAGGCTTCTCAGGGTGTATTCCTAGAAGTGGGATCATTGAGTCAAATGGCAATTCAATTTTTAATTTTTTGAGGTAACACCATATTTTCCATAGTGGCTACACCAGTCTGCATTCCCAACAGCAGTGTACTAGAGTCCCCTTTTTTCCACACCCTCGCCAACACTTGTTTGATGATTTGTTGATGGCGGACATTCTGACAGGTGTGAGGTGATACCTCATTGTTGTTTTAATTTGCATCTCTCTGATGATTAGTGATGTTGAGCATTTCTTCATATGTTTCTTAGCCATTTGTATGTCCTGTTTGGAGAGATGTCTATTTAGTTACTCTGCCCATTTTTTAATTGGGTTCTTTGTCTTCCTTTTGTTGAGTTGTATGAGCACTCTCTATATATTGTAAGTTAACCCCTTATCTGATATATCAATTATGCTCTCCCATACAGTGGGTTGCCTTTCCATTTTGATAGTTGTTTCTTTTGCTGTGCAGAAGCTTTTGAGTTTGATGCAGTCCCATGTGTTCATTTTCTCCTTTGTTTCTGTTGCCTTAGGTGATGTATCAGTGAAAATTCTGCTGCGTACGATGTCTGAAATTTTGTTGCCTACAGTTTCTTCTAGGATTTTTATGAATTCATAAGTCACATTTAAGTCTTTTATCCATTTTGAGTTTATTCTTGTGTAGGGTGTAAGTTGATGGTCTAGTTTCATTTTTTTGCATGTAGCTGTCCAATTTTCCCAACACCATTTATTAAAGAGGCTATCTTTACTCCACTGTATGCGCTTGCCACCTTTGTCAAATATTAATTGAGCATATTGTCTTGGGTCCATTTCTGGGTTCTCTGTTCTGTTCCACTGATCCATATGCCTGTTCTTGTGCCAGTGCCAGGCTGTTTTGATTACAGTGGCTTTGTAGTATAATCTGAAATCTTGTAATGTGATCCTTCCAACTTTGTCCTTCTTTTTCAAGATTGCTGTGGCTATTCAGGGTCTTTTGGGGTTCCATATGAACTGTTGAAGTATTTGTTCTTATTCTTGAAGTATGTTATTGGTATTTTGATGGGGATTGTATTGAATCTATAGATTGCTTTGGGTAATATGGACATTTTCATGATGTTAATTCTTCTAATCCATGAACAGGGTATGTGCTTCCACTTTTTTATATCTTCTTCTAATTCTCTTTTCAATGACCTGTAGTTTTCTGGGAATAGGTCCTTTATTTCTTTGGTTAGGTTTATGCCTAGGTATCCTAATTTTTTTGCTGCAATGGTAAATGGGATTGTTTTCTTAGTTTCTCTTTCTGTGAGTTCATCACTGGTGTATAAGAATGCCATCGATTTCTTGACGTTGATTTTGTAACCTGCTACTTTTCCAAATTCATTTATTAAGTCTAGTAAATTTTTTATGGAGATTTTGGGGTTTTCTATGTATAGTATCATGTCATCTGCAAATAATGACAGTTTCACTTCCTCCTTTCTAATTTGGATGCCTTTTATTTTTTCTTCCTGTCTGATTGCTGTGGCTAAGACTTACAGTACTATGTTAAATAAGAGTGGCGAAAGTGGGCATCCTTGTCTTGTTCCTGTTCTTAAGGGAAATGCTTTTAGCTTTTGCCCATTGAGTATGATGTTGGCTGTAGGTCTTTCATATATCACCTTTATTATGTGGAGATATGATCCCTCTATTCCCACATTGCTGAGCGTTTTTATCAGAAATGGATGCTGGATTTTGTCAAAAGCTCTTTCGGCATCTATTGCTATGATCATGTGGTTTTTATTCTTCATTTTGTTTATGTGGTGTATCACATTTATTGATTTGTGAATATTGTACCAGCCTTGCATCCCTGGGATGAATCCCACTTGGTCATGGTGAATAATTTTTTTGATGTGTTGCTGGATCCAATTTGCTAGTATTTTGTTCAGGATTTTGGCATCTATGTTCATCAGGGATATTGGCCTGTAGTTTTCTTTGTTTGTAATGATTTTTTCTGGTTTTGGAATAAGAATTATGCTGCTCTCATAAAACGAGTTTGGAAGTCTTCTTCTTGAATTTTTTGAAATAGTTTGAGGAGAATGGGTGTTAGTTATTTTTTGAAAGTTCGGTAAAGTTCCCCCGTGAAGCCATCCGGGCCTGGGCTTTTGTTTGCTGGGAGAGTCTTGATTACATCTTCAGTTTTTTCTGTTCTTATTGGTCTGTTCAAGTTGTCTATCTCTTCCTGGTCCAGTTTTGGGAGACTGTGTTTCTAGAAATTTGTACATTTCACTTAGATTGTCGAATTTGTTGCCATATAATTGTTCATAATAGTTTTTAACGATCTTCTGTATTTCTGTGGTATCAGTTGTTACTTCTCTTTCATTTCTGATTTTGTGTATTTGGGTTCTCTCTCTTTGTTTCTTGGTAAGTCTAGCTAAGGGCCCATCTGTCTTGTTTATCTTTTCAAAAAACCAGCTCTTTCTTTCATTGATCCTTTGAATTGTGTTTTTGGTCTCTGTCTTGTCTGCTCTGATCTTTACTATTTCCTTCCTTCTACTTGTTCTGGGGTTTTCTTTTTGTTTGCTTTCTAGTTCTTTAAGTTGTGAGGTTAGATAGTCTATTAGAGATTTTTCTTGTTTTTTGAGGTAGGTCTGTAGTGCTATGAACTTTCCTCTCAGTACTGATTTCGCTGTATCCCACAGGTTTTGTGTTGTTGTGTGTTCATTTTCATTGGTTTCCAGGAAGTTTTTAATTTCTTTCTTGATCTCCTTGGTAACCCATTCATTGTTTAATAGCATGCTATTTAGCCTCTATGTTTTCAAATGTCTTTGCATATTCTTGTTGCAATTGATTTTTAGTTTCATGCCATTGTGATCTGAGAATGCTTGATACGATTTCAATCTTCTTGAACTTGTAGAGACTTGCTATGTGTCCTAACATGTGGTCTATCTTTGAGAATGTCCCATGTGCACTTGAGAAGAATGTGAATTCTGTAGTTTTGGGGTATAATTCTCTGTAGATATCTATTAAATCCATTTGGTCTATCGCTTCATTTAGAGTCTCTGTTTCCTTGCTAATTTTTTCTAGAGGATCTATCCAGTGATGTCAGCGGGGTGTTGAAGTCCCCTGCTATGATTGTATTGCTATCAATTTCTCTTTTGAAGTCTTCCAGAAGATTTTGGTACTCCTATATTGGGCGCATATATGTTTGTCAAGGTTATATCATCCTGTTGGAAAGATCCTTTCTATATTATGTAGTGCCCTTCTTTGTCTCTAGTTATGCCCTTCATTTTAAAATCTATTTTATCAGATATGAGTATTGCTACCCCAGTTTTTTTTTTCCTTTCTGTTTGCTTGGAAGATTTTTTTCCATCCCTTCACTTTCAACCTATGTGAGTATTTTGTTGTGAGGTGGGTCGCTTGTAAACAACATATATGTGAGTCATGCTTTCTTATCCAGTCAGCTACTCTGTGTCTTTTTATTGGAGCATTCAGTCCATTTACATTTAAGGTGGTTATTGATATGTACTTATTTATTGCCATTTTTGTTTAGTGTGGTAATATTTTTCTTTCTATTTCTCCTGTTAATTATAGCAGTCCTTTTAACATTTCTTGCAGTGCTGGTTTGGTGCTAATGTATTCCCTTAGCCTTTTTTTTTTTTTTTTTTTTTTTTTTGTTTGTTTGTTTGGGAAGTTCTTTATTTGACCTTCTATTTTGAATGATAGCCTTGCTGGCTAGAGTAGTCTTGGATTCAGATCCTTGTTTTTATGACCTTGATTACCTCATGCCATTCCATTCTGGCCTGTAGAGTTTCTGTTGAGAAGTCAGCTGAGAGCCTTATGGGGGTTTCTTTGTAGGTAACCTATTGCTTCTCTCTTGCTGCTTTTAGGATTCTCTCTTTGTCTTTAATTTTTGGCATTTTGATTACTATGTGTCTTGGTGTGGGCCTATTTGGGTTCTTCTTACTTGGGGCTCTCTGTGCTTCTTGAACTTGAATGCCTTCTTCCTTCACCTAATTAGGGAAGTTTCCTGTAACTATTTCTTCAATTATATTCTCTAACCCTTGCTCATTTTCTTCTTCTTCGGGGACTCCTATGATGCGAATATTATTATGTTTCTAGTTGTCCCACAGTTCTCTTAAGCTGTCTTTCTATTTTTTTTTTTTAATAGTATTTTTTTTTTTTTTTAATCCTCATTCGAGGACATTTTTTCATTTTTTGTATAGACAGAGTGGGAGGGAGAGAGAGGAAGAGAGAGAGAGGGAAACATCGATGTGAAAGGGACACATCGAGTGGCTGCCACCTGCACGACCAACCAGGGCCGGGGACAGACTGCAACCGAGGTACATGCCCTTAGCGGGAACCGAACCCGGGCCTCTCCGGACCGCAGGCAGACGCTTTAACCGCTGAGCCAAACCGGCCAGGGCTCTTTCTATTTTTTTAATTGT